TCCACCACTTCTGTTTAAGGTTGGTTTTTCTCTCTTAACAAAGATGGCTTCCTTCACGCCCCTCTCAAACCAACTATCTTTATCTTGGAAACCTTGGAAACAAAGTCCAGTGGATTGGTTTATTTAAAACTCTTACGGAATGACCATGACCTGGATGACTGAAATCTTTACCAGCATATCTACATATAGCCCCTAAAGTATGGATGAAGAAGAATGCTAGCTCCCGTTAGCTTGTTGGCTAGCAGCAGTAAGAGCTTTTAATGAAAGATGGGGCTTTGTCAGCTCTTTATTTCAGCTCTGCAGGAGTTGAACCCAGTCTGTTCATCGGTTCGACAGCTTTAATGCTGCAAATACATGTCAAAATGTGTGAATTTGGGACACTTGTTTTCCGTCGAGCCTTCTGCTAGCATGTTTTTGTGCTAAATGAAAATTAGCCCCTTGTTTTTTCATGTACAACTTTGACTTCCCCCTCTGGCAGTTGGGAAAAATTCAAGAGAAAATGGCTGCTTATCAACTCATCAGTTAATGGATAAGATCAATAACTCTGGATTAATTGAACCTGCATCCAAAGTTTTATTATATTTTATAGTCTTTTTTTTGTGACAGAACTACACAAGGTAATGGATAGTGTAGAAAAACTTAACCTAGTGTTAAATCTTTATTTCAATCACTAAAGAGGTTTGGTGTGTTTATTTTTATCCCCGACCTGCTCTGATACTCCAAAATAAAATCCAGAAAACACAGCTGTCTTTAGAAGAGACACCATTCATAAAAATAGTCTATACTTTTGAGAGGTTTGTTAAAGAATTTTGGTGAAAAATGAGGATTACAAACAGCAAAGACCAGATCAGATAAGACAGACGGAGAGTAAAGTTTAAAAAAATCTAATCTGGTCTGTTCAATCATCATCTATTAGTGGTATTTGTGGTGATTATGATAAAAGGGACATGACAAAATATATATACAATAAATACAAATTCATAGATTCCCTTTAGTCGAACAAACAGTGTAAAGACAAATACTGCTTAAAAAACAAAACAACAAAAAATAAATCCTACCAGTTTTGAAAAAAAGCCTTCTTTAAGAAGCAAGTACATAAAGAAATTGGATTCCTTTTATTACTAAACTCCAGACAGTAGCTAAATTTGATTATATATTTGTGGATTTATTGATATTTGCTGCTGCTCTCATGGAACGAAATGTGGAAAAAAAACAGTAGAGATGACAAAGCCAACAATACTGGCAGTTTTTCTGGGCTATTTATTAATTGGATTTTCTGCTTTGACTGAGCCAGAGTTGTTTTTCTGTTTTATTTTTCCTGAGAAAAACAAAACAAAGCAAACAAAAACAGCCTCTAGACGTACAAAGCCACTTGGCAGTTTTTGTTTTCTAAGGAAGCAGCCAAAAGGTGGCTCAGAGTATTCACTGATGAGGGAAGGAGGCAAAAACACATCTTTTGGTATTCTATTAGTTAAATATTTTAACCAGTTAAAGGGATTGAATTTATTTATCAAAAGATAATTGATTGATGACACTGAGCAGGAGGACTTTAATGCCAAAATGTTCCACATATTTAATGAAAACATCCTGAATTGATCAAAAAACATCAGAGGTCTTCTTTTAAAGCTTTGAATAAAAAATATAACATTTCTACGTAAACTGATGGTGCCCAGCTCTACTGCAGGACTGCGACCAGACAGAAACCTCCTCCTCCTTATGAGGAGAGATTAACGACACGGTTAAATTGGCTTCTGCTGAGGAAGTGACTTATGGGCTATTGGATCGTCCTCATCAATATCTCCTGATCCAAGTTGGCTTTCTGTTACATATCCTACAGGTCTGAAGAGGGTTTGGTCTGTGTGAACCACAGTATTTTAAGTGTTATGACTTTTTATCCTGTTCACAGAAAAGTTTCAGTAAAAATGTACCTTTATTTGGTACAAGACAAAATGTATATAGATCTTTATTTGCTTTATTTTTATTTTGTTTTATTATCTACTTGATGTAAAGCACTTTGAATTCCATCTACTGAATTGTGCTATAAATAATAAACCTGTCTTGCTATTAATTTATGTTTGGATCACATAAAATCCTATTATATACAATAAAGTAAGCAGCGGTAATGTAATGAAATGGAGAAATAAATACGTCCAACAAGAACGGAAATCTGTCAGCCTTAAAGTCGTAGGGAAGTCGTATTTAAATGGATTTGTTCATTAATTATGTTTTTTTTAGTAAATCTAAAAAAATATTTTAGTGTATAAACATTTTTAAAGTCGTAGGGAAGTCGTATTTAAATGGATTCGTTTATTATGTTTTTTTTT